GAATCTGTCTCAGGGGTTCGACGGAGCCTCTGCCATGGAGGGTAAGACAGACCCGACTCAACATGTCAATTAGCAACAATGATCCTCAGTCGGAAAAGGGTGGAGTGCCCCTTCCGGGTCGGGGAGATCTTGCCCCAAGTTGAGGAGTTTAAATATCTTGGGGTCTTGTTCACGAGTGAAGGCAGGAGGTAGCGAGACATCGACAGACGGATCGGTGCAGCGTCTGTTGTGATGCGGACCTTGTATCGGTCTGTCGTGGTAAAGAAGGAGCTGAGCCAAAGGGCGAAGCTCTCAATTTACCGGTCGAGCTATGGGTCGTGACCGAAAGAACGAGATCCCGGATACAAGCGGCCGAAATAAGTTTTCTCCGCAGGGTGTCCAGGCTTTCCTTTACAGACAGGGTGAGAAGCTCGGTCATCTGGGAGGGGCTCAGAGTCGAGCCGCTTTTCCTCCACATCGAGAGAAGCCAGATGAGGTGGCTCGGGCATCTGATTAGGATGCCTCCTGAACGCCTCCCTGGTGAGGTGTTCCGGGCATGTCCCACCGGCAGGAGACCTTGGGGACGACCCAGGACACGCTGGAGAGACTATGTCGCCCAGCTGGCCTGGGCGACATAGGAACGCCTCGGGATCTCCCGGGAAGAGGCGGCTGGGGAGAGGGAAGTCTGGGCTTCCCTGCTTAAGCTGCTGCCCCCGCGACCCGACCCCATCATAAGTGGTAGAAGATGAATGGATGGATGGATGGATGGCAATTCAACTCTATAAATTTGAGATTGCAGACTATACAAACACATGAAAGCACACACCCACCCCCCCACACACACACACACACACACACACACACACACACACACACACACACTTTATGAAATTAGAGACTGAACCAAGTTTGACCTCTGGGAATAACGTGTAAATTTGAAAGCTCCGCACACGTTAAATTGCCATTAAACAGTAAAACTAGATTTCGTGAAAGATTTGTGTTTCACGTAAAGCAAACGGTGGGTCATTTGTTTTATAAACGTAATCAAGAAGTGCCTAGAGCAGTGGTTCTTAACCTTTTTAGAGGTACCGAACCCAGTCAGTTAATATGCACATTCACCGAAGCCTTCATGAGTGAAAAATAAATAATTTTTTTTTAATGAATTCAAGATCCAAAAAAAACAATTTATTGAAAACAGAAAAAAGTAAATACAATTTCAAGAGATAAGTACACTTTTTTTTTTTTTTTTTTGTACGACGTACTATCACGACAGTCACACGTTGACTCCTAAGCGAACTAAATTTCCCACAGCACTGACTGGACAAGCGATGTCATGTGATGATCTGCAGCCAGTGGTGGCCAAGCGGGCATGTCATAACTAATTAACATGTTGAGTCGCGTGTGTCTTACCTTCTATGGCAGAGGCTCCGTTCAACCCCTGAGACTGACTCACCCAACCCCTGGGGTTCGATCGAACCCAGATTAAGAACCACTCGCCTAGAGTCATAATGGCCCCCTCAACACAACAATGCACTCAACACAACCTAAACGACATGTCGAATGTGAGTCACTGGAAAGTGATTACAATTATTAGATCAGAGCCAACAGTTGTGTAACTAATTTCGCAACGGTGCTCCTTTTTATATAACATCACATCATAGCTTCGGGTCATCTTTAAATTCTCTAATTGTGAAATTAGTTGTGTGAAATGAATTGATGCAAATCATACCCTAATGAGCTTTTCTGACACAAAAGGGCATCGAGGTTTTACAGAAGCAGAACTCAAATGAGCCTTAAATAATAAAATGAGTGACTGGTGGTGGTGTCATCACATCTATCCTTCAAGATTATAGATGCAATCTGAACCTGTCCTCTAGCTCTCCTTAAATGCCCCGTCATAATGCCCGCCTCTCATATCTGATGGTCGTGCTGTGCTTAATAACAAGTGAAGACTGCTGGATGGAGGTGCGCTGGGAAATGAACAAATTAACAAAGCAATTCACAGTCTCTGCAGCACTGTGGGGGGTCTTCGAGGAGAGACAAAGGGTTGTAAAGAAAGCGGGGAATACAGTGTCACCTGCTGAAAACGGGGCATGTGCTGCAATCATTTCAAAACAGTAATATCTGCATTCATGTGTTGCACTATTTACTCTGTAATTGGACACCTTCATCAGGGACATAATATTACTGCTTCATTATTGGCTGGGTTGTTTTTCCTCCAAATTAATGAAGTCACATATATTATAACTTCACACACAAGGCTCCGACGACTCATGTGAGGTTTGTCGTTGTAAGAATGGTTTTGACTCGCTCGTGTCTAATCGATCATTGAAATTCTGAGAATTTCCAACAAGGTATGATCGGTGAGTGGGTAGCACCTCCACATCACAACTCCGAGGTGGTGGATTTCTGGCTGGGCTCCGACCTTACTGTATGAAGATTGCGTATTCCCCCCCACACGTACGTGGGTTTTCCCCATGTACTATGGCTTCCTCCCACATTCCATTCCAACATGTTTTGAAGGTTAATCAAAGTCTGGAAATCAAACTCAACTTACTGCATGTGGAGAGCACAAGAATCCGGGTGTGTCCGGGCCACAACGTATTTACAAAAAAGATAAAATAATCCAATCTTTTCACTTTTTTAAAATAACAGCACAGAACGTTAATTGTTGTAAAGAACATGACCAAAACTGGTGGGACGGACTTTCTCTTCTCCATTGTACTTTACATATTCCTCGGCATGTTCAGTTGAATGATTGATTTCAGATTTCTTGCCAAGAGCAATTTTAACCTAATTTTGTAGAATTGTGGTTGGCGAGAGAAAATATACAAACAACCACAATAACAAAAAGCATTCATCTTTCAAAAAAATGATTGCAAACTAATCAGTGCTGCAGAATTTTTGTATGGATCAGATTTTTTTTTCATACTGAAGTACGGCAAATGTCAGATACTTTTACTTGAACACGAAAGACTTTTACCCAGATAATATTCAACAAAGTGAATCTTATTTTCGACCAGAGTTACTTGTACTTTAATTCAAATTGTATTCAGGCATTTTGTACAAGACTGGGAATTGGCTAATCAAAATACTATTGCTATTTTTTTTTTTCTCATCCTGTCAAAGGTTGTTAATTAAATGATTCAAATGACTGGATAATTAGGTAATGAGAAAAGCTAATCATGTGGCAGCCAGTGTCTCAACCTCTCACCCTTAACAAAGACATTAAGTCCATGACCATTGTAATCTTGGATTTGAAAATCGTTGATGTACGCGCCAACATATCATCTTTTCTCATGTCACATCCATCTAAATGTAGTTGCCATGGTAATGGCAACACGGAGATCAATCATTGCCAAGCAGGAGTGGGGCATGACACCAATTAAAAGGTTATGTTGTCTCCTAGTCATCACTCATACTCCTCGCTAATGCACTAATTACTAGGTCCGGGACATTAATGGGATAGCATGGTTCAGGCAGGGGATTAATCTGCATGGCTTTGCTCCGTGAATGAGTGTGTATGTGCGCGTGTGTGTCTGTGTGTGCCTCTATGTGATTAATGTGAACCCCCAAAATCCCCCCCTGACAGCCTTAGTAAGACATGAGTGACACCACATAAAAGGAATGAGCGTTGGGATGTCAGCACTCGAAGACCATCGGATGAGGTCAAGGCTGGGACCTACGATGCATTTTTAGCGCTCTTTCACTCACTACGATATACATTGATTATATTCTTGAGCAAGAATGATTTCACATAGTTGCTGTGATATCTTTTGGAACGCTTGAAATTTTTATAGCCTCCTCCTTGAACTGCCCCTTTTTCGCGATCCTCGCCCATCCGTTCGGCTTACATTGCACTCGACTCCGATGGCCCATATCACACAGGTGATGAGCTCTTGAGAAGGTGGGCCCAATGAGTACAGGCCCGGCCACCAGGCACTTGCCTTTGAGCCCCACCTACAGCCTCCTGACTTCAGATAGGCCGACCCGGGTAAGGGAAAATGTTTTCCAAGATATTTTCTTTTGATCCGTGCTTTGTCTGCTCCCTAACCTCGGAGCTGCTTACCATGGGTGACCCTGCCAGGGGCTAAAAGTTCCAGACAACGTCGCTCCTGAGATCAATGGGACACACAATAAAGTGATGGGGGGTGTGATTGATTATAATTGGAATAATTATTGGCATAATTAAAAATCTTAAAAGCGTAGAATTACGTACTAAAGAGAGAGAGCGAGAGAGAGAGAGAGAGAGAGAGAGAGAGAGAGAGAGAGAGAGAGAGAGAGAGAGAGCAAGCGAGAGAGACTCAGAGAGAGAATTTATATGTCTATTCATCATAAAATAATTACCAATTTTGTGTGCTTTGGTCCAATGACTCAGATGCAATTCAGAATTTCCCACAGATTTGGAATGGATTATTTTCTGTGTTTGAATCCATTTTGCACAGCTTATTACGACAACATTCTGGTTGTATAATTGCCTTTTAGTAGTTTGCATTGATTGTATTTCAAATTTATTTTGTATTGAAATGGCTCCCTTGGTGATTTGCTTTGAAATTATTGGCAAAAATAAAATAAAACACAAAACAACAACACCAAGATCACCTCTTCCTCTTAACCTTACAACCAGCGATGACATTATTCAAATAATAAATGCACAGCAATTCCGGTCTTATATTTTTTCAGCAATAATAGCTTGGTTCACAACACCAACTTTCATTATTATCATCCCCTTCATTCCCATCATCATCATCATCATCATCATTATCATCAACTTTCAAGCAGAAAGCACAAACACAATGTAGAGACAATGTGTTCTGTGCTTTGATTTTGGTTAAATAAAAAGGGAGAGCGTCATCTTATCAGTACAATTCTTGGCAAACATGAAATTAATCTGAATATGGATTGAGCTCAAAATAAAAACAACCTATTCAAATGCTACCTCGGCACAGAATTTCCCTGGTAGCGATAAAGGAAAAAAACTGTGCGGTTATATGGGAATGTCAGGAAGAAGAGGAACTCACCAATGACATATGTGAGCAGCAGAGCTAGGGTAAGAGTGAGAAGAGACGCAGATAATGCTGTACACTTCCAGTTGCAGCAGCGATGAGGCTTGTTGAAGGTAAACAGTGGTCTGGTCACACTGCTGCGAGGCAGGGGCCTGGGCGGAGGCGAGTACACTGTTCCAGAGGTCAAAGGGTAACCCTGCCCCGCACCTGAAAGCAGGGCTGATGAGCCCGAGCCTTGCTTGAATAGGAAGTGTCTAAAATGGAGAAACAAAATGTTACATTTAGGTCAAATGATTGAATATTAGTAATAAACAAATTGAAGCTTTCCAAGACAAGTACTGTATTATGTGTTGACACAATGCAAAAAGCAAAGCTCAATTTTTTTGAAGTTGTTCATTTTGAAAATGTATTTCTTCTCCTTGTGTTCATCTTGGATACAGATGACGTTGTCACATTTAGCTCTTAACTACCTCAATGGCATCCGTACATGTAATTTTTTTTTTTATTTAACGTATTTTCCGCACGACAAGGCGTTTCAAGTACAATGAATGGCCTATTTTAAAACTGTTTTCATGTATAGGAGGCACCGCATTATAAGAAGCATAGAATAGAAGCCACAATAGTGTCTGCAGTTGCATAATGCATCCACTAGATAGAGCTATGCTAAAGGGAATACAATACAATAAAATACAGCTTTATTCATGTTGAGTTTTCACAACCGTTGCAGCTGTAACAAAGCATTTCACATAACGTTTAAAATGGTATGTACAAGAAATCAGAATAGTAATCCATATATAAGGAGCATCAGATTATAAAGCGCACTGTCGGCTTTTGAGAAAATTGAATGCTTTTAGATGTGCCTTATCGTGCGGAAAATACGGTATTTATTTTTGATCATCAGATCTATGAGACTCCCTCTCTCTCTCTCTCTCTCTC